TTTTAGGACCCCAAAGGTGTGGAAAAACTGGACACAAAACACTAGCTGGAAACTTAAGGGAATTTCAGTTTATGATCTATGAGTAAAGTAAATGAGTAGAATAGACATTTATTAATAACGTGGAATTACTTTGTGTTCATTTCCAGGTCTGGAAGGCAACTAAGCGAGGTATTTGTCCAGCTACCATCCAGGAAGGAGCTCCCAGAATATTATGAGCTGATCAGGAAACCTGTGGACTTCAAAAAGATCAAGGTACGATGAATATGAAGACCCACTGATTATCAGCAGGGAAAGAAAAATGTGTCTGACCATCTAGTGATACTGTAAATACTATGTTATAAACACTAAGATAAACACCATCTAAAACCAGTCATATTTGATGTACAAATAACATTTTTTGAATCTTCACAACTGTTATTTAATGTCATTGTATCAGCTTTGTGGCTGGTAACAGTATTGTTAATTTTGTCAGCTATTTTTTGATGTAGTCTTATTCCTGAGATCAGCTGTTCATGCTAGCCTTGTGGCGGGTTCCGTGCACATATAGTCTAACCTAACAGCCACAGGCCATGGGGACTGAAAATTGGTGTTAGATGCGACAACCAATCGTTTTAGCTGGTATTGTGTGTCATTGTAAACGACAATCGATGCTACACTTTGGACACTGGGACACTCACAACAAACCGACACAGTTGAGCATGTCAGAGTATTTTCTGTTTCCATGGCATGCCGGTGTGGCACTGACCAACAGGAGCACAGTTTGCTCTTCCACTCATAACAAACACCGTGGAGCAAAAAAGATATGAAGATGTTTCTTTTCCAAGGTGGAAATATGAAATGGAGGGAACATTTATTGAGCTATGGCAACAACAGTCAATATCATAGTGATACAGGTACCGATGTGTAGCCCGTCATATCCCTTGTCCAGGTCCCGACAAGAATCTCTGATTGTAATCTGGCAATTTGACACAGTGACCATCTTATCAGACACAAATATCGTGTACTCTAGGCCTGGCATTAGCCAGCCTCATGCAGCCATCCAGTCAAAGGACCTCTGGATTTCATTGCAATTTCATTTAATCTTTTTATCTTAGTAAAAATATGGAGAGATTTTGGTCATCTTTTTTGTCAGCAAAATTGTTTGGAGGTTTAGTCACAGTTATTTCATGACGTGAGTTTCATCTCGTCTTCATCATGGGAGAAAGGGTCACTAAGAAATATATTTTGTCACAGTTTTCATTAACATAAATAACAGTAGCTCTGGCACCTTACATACAGTATCACCTCAGCTGAAACCTTGCAGAAAGGGATGAATGTGTGAGTTGTTCCAAGCTGGTGTTCTTTTGTCAATAGGAGCGTGTGAGAAACCATAAATACAGGAATGTGGGAGACCTGGAAAAGGATGTGATGCTGCTCTGTCACAACGCCCAGACCTTCAACCTGGAGGGATCCCAGGTCAGCAACCCTGTCCTGGAACTTTGCTTTCTCAAATTCATTTTTTAATTTTCCTTTGTGTTTACTTGTGTGGTGGTTAACTGTGTGCACTGGAAAGTCAGAGTCTGCACATTGTCACGCCTTAGTTTTTAGTTTAGTGCTGAAACAAGTCATCTCTTTTGACAGAAAGCTCTCTGCAGCCAGTTTTGATTACTGAGTAGTTGTTGTTGTGAGTTTGTTGTGTCCTGTGTGTTCTTTGTATGCAGCCCCATTAGCCTGAATATAGAATGTAATTTTTTTCTGAAAGTAAAGTTTGTCTTATATATTTGATGACTGTAGTCTATGAGTGTCTCAGTCAGTGTGTAGTGAGTCTTTCAGTCAGTCAGCCTGGAAAGTGTTTTCTTAGTCCAGTTTAACTTGCAGGAATTTCTGAAGGCTGGTGAAACATTTTGCTGCCACAAAGGAATTAAATTCATTCCTCTTCCTGTAGGTAATCATAATAATAGTAGTTTTTTATTTGTAGCCCTTTACCTGACAGGTTTTCCTCTTCTCCCATTTCTATGTCCATTCTCTGTCCATTGCTACTTAATCTCTCCTTTATTTGAATCTTTACCCACATAAAGTCGGGGGTCTGTCGGAGGTTTCTTCCGTTAAAGGGAGTTTTTCCTCCCCACTGTCACCAAGTGCTTGCTCAAGGGGGATTTGTTGGGTTTTCCCTATGTAATAATATTGATAACAGTAAGGTCTAGACCTTACTTTGTAAAGTGTCCTGAGATGACTTTTGTTGTGATTTGGCGCTATACAAATAAAATTTGATTTGATTTGATTTGATAAACTTATTGTCCAACAATTTTCTGGCAATACACGTCGTTCATGCTGCTCAAGGAACTTTTTGTACCAGCCACTCTAATTATTTTCTGCAGATATACGAGGACTCCATTGTTCTCCAGTCTGTGTTCAAGAGCGCCAGGCAGAAAATTGCCAAGGACGAAGACAGTGAAGATGACAGCGATGAGGATGATGATGATGAGGATGAGTCTGAGGCAGAGGGTAAGATGTGCTGGACATGAATACGAATAGACAAGCACACACATACACAAACCTACACTTGTTGGCTCATTTAAAGTCGACATTGTAAACCCAGTGAATGCTGCTCTGCTTTGAGATTCGCTTTGCCTCCGTTCAGCGGGGAGCAGCGTTGGCTGTTGCCTTCATGCTGTAGCACAGATGAAAAACAGGATGTAAATGACAGGAATGAAGAATAAGGGTTGTAACCTGGGGAGTTTACCTTAATTGTACTTAAAAATGTATTCTTTCACTCCAAAGCGCTTTTATTGGAGTGCTCATCTGGTCTTCCCATGCAGAGTAAAACCAGATGAAAGCTCAGAAAGACTGAGATTTAGAAAATAATGCAGCTGAAAGTTCTAGAAAGGCCCAGTAAGTAAACACTAATCTCTAATAATTAATCAACTAATTGACCATTTTAAAAATAATTAACAACTATTTGTAATTGTCATTTTCAAGCAAAAATGCAGAAATGTTTATTTTTATCCTTTCAGACATGAAGATTATCTCCTTTTCTTGGTTTTATATCATTGCAAACTGAATTCTTTGGCTTGGGACAGTTAATTGAGAAAGTAATTGGCATATTAATAGATAATGAATGGGTGGGGCAAATCGGTTGATTCATTTCACAGTTTTACATAACAGCAGATCCTCACATTTGAGAAGCTCACCATGAGAATTTTTGACACTTTTGCTTGAAAATCCTATAAACAATCAGTTATCAAAACTGTTAAATCTCAAGCCCAAAGCTGGAACTTGTAAATTTTTGCCACTATTGTTTTTAAAAATGACTTAGTGGGTTAAGAAATTATCCAAATTTTTGCAAAAAAAAAAAAAATTGTGGTCAATTGACTAATTGAATAATCAACTAATCATGTCAGCTTTAGAGTACTGGTTGGTGTTTGTGGAAATAATGACACCCACATGTACAGTGCAGGTCAGAAGGGGCCCAGAAACAAAGTTTTGTCCCTGTAAACCAGCCATGTCCTGAACCTAAATGTTTGTAGAAACTTGTATGAGATTAGAATAATTTTATTGTCTGACTAAGGTAACAGTTATGCAGTTAAGTTTCTCCTGCTTTTCCCGTGTGCTTCATTCAGCCAAATCAGTGCGGGTTAAGATCAAGCTGAGTAGAGAGGGGCGCAGCCATGACAAAGGCAAGAAGAGGCAAAGCCGAGGGAAGGCCAAGCCGGTGGTCAGCGACGACGACAGTGACGAGGATCTGGACGATAATGTAGGTCATCCTTCTTCACTGCCTTTACTGTGACTTTGGCAAAAATATCTTGGTGATACTTTGCTCAGAAAAAGGCTAATTCTTCACTGTTAGAAAAAATAGTTTCAAGCTCAGCAAGCTTTCTTCATGTGAATGTGCAAATGTGAGAAGTGAATTTATATGTTTTAGGAAAGCTCCCAGTCATAACCTTTCCTTTGCCGGGCACCAACACTGCTGGGGTGACTAATAGCAGATTAATTGTTTGTAAGAGAAAGACAACAGTCACTGACACAGAAGTACAGTAAAAAAAAGGAAGTTTTGGTTTGAAGCATGTGAAAAGAGATCCAGGTTTTTCCTTCCAAAATCAACTCTTTTCACAGAGAACAGTAACAGGAACCATGTTCTGGCATATTCACAAGACAAGTTTATGTACTGAAACAAAAAGTCATGGAACTTGCAAGTTAAGTGAATGAAGGGCTTCAACTAACATTAAATAAAATAACTGTTCAGTCTATAAAATGTCAAAACGTGGCACTGGTTCTGAGAGCCTAAAGTAATGTTGTCATAGTGCTTGTTGTGTCCGATCAACAGTCCAAAACCTAAACACACACTGTTTACTTTGATGCAGATCTGGCCATAAGTATTTAGAGTAATTGCACATTTGGCTACTACATGTTTTTTGGACAGCTGTGTGTCACGCACTGCTCAGAGTTGACTGAAAGTGGAAAGCTGCCATTAAGGCTGAGGAGGAGTTGTCCGTCAGTGTGAGGAGCAAAGAGGTGACCATGCACCAAGTGGCTTTTTATTTTTGGACATTTTTGCCTTTCTGTCAAAGCAGTAGCGGAGATACAGGCAGGAAATGTGGGAGAGAGGGAGGAGGCGTGACATGCAACGGCAGTCCCTCAGTCTGAAGTCCAAAATCAACAAAGTGGGAACAACCTTTGCTTAAATATTAACTGTCCAACACTTTAAAGTAAGAACTAAAATGTGCTGGTGAAAGTCCTGCAACCCTTCAATGCAGCAGATTGGCCGTGGCCTAGGTTTTGTAGTTACTGTGGTTTCTATGAGTGCCAGTGTTGTACTTGTCTGATAATTGGCCCCTAAATTATAATCAGCTGATTATGATTAGTAGAAACAGTTCAAATTTGTTGCACTGAGTTCAATGAAGACAATAATAGACCTTCTTAATTCCCCAGCAAGCAAACGACTTAAAGGGATTTGGATTTGTAAAGTAGATTTGGAGCTGGATTCAGATTTAATAAAATGCTATTGAACCCCGTCCCAGCTCTGCACTAATGCAGTGATAGTGCAGTAAGGACACTGGCACAAGTTTTCAATCTGTGATTGTGTCCTCTGATTACTTTCATGCTAAAAAGGCTGCTTACATTTCATAGGGGTGGAAAAATGTTGGTATTTTATAGTTACAGCGGGACCTTGTGGAACCTGGTTTGTGAGTGTTTTGCAAGACGAGCAAAAAATATTTTGATTCGATATACGAGTGAGGTCTCGCAATATGAGTAGTATGTACACTTTGTCTGCCGAGTGTCATGTCACAACTGAGCCGATGGTTCTCACACTTCACTTGTATAGTCAATATCTGTACTGCAACAATGGCCCCTCACACCAGCCACGAGTCTTTTCAAAGGTAAAATGCAGGTTAATTTTTTATTTTTACTTTATACCGTCCCCGCCTTCGCCTGATTGCCGGCCGGGAAACGTTACAGACTCACAAAGTCACACACCAGAGTGTCAGACTCACAAGCTGTATCTCCCTTCACAGATCACATGGTTCACATGTGATTCATGCATTCAGGTGTCGTAATAACAACGGGGAGTCGTTCTTGTAGTTCGGGCTGCTAATCAACACAGTGGAGTCAGTGAAGGGAGGCTGCTTCAAACCCCTCAGTGCCTGATTGTCACAGTTGGTGTTGGAATTCAGCCAAATGTGAACACACAAACATGACACAGATTCAGTGTTTCACTTTTGGAGGGTTTCATCCTCTGTTTATGTTATAATTAAAAACAGCAGTGAGCTCTATGTCCACTCTAAAGGTACAGACAGTAGCTGTTTTGGCCCATTCCCAGCTGCAACGGGCAGCAGGAGGCCGAGCCTGAGCCACCGTGGTGCTTCAGTGTTTGTATTCATGCCAGCGGTGACACTGAACTGATGGGTATGTGAGCTTAATGTAAACGGCTCAGCCCGACTAAGATCTTCGCCTCAGCTGTCTATCAGCCATGATGTGCAGTCACTTTCTCTCTTTCTCCTCTTACTACTTCCTTCAGGTTGAAAAGTGAATTTCTTCTGAATTTCTAAAAAGATCCTTATCCTCTGTCACTGCTCAAAAATGGGCTCCACCATCAGACCTTCTTTTCCCTTGAGGCTTTTTTACTTCAGGGTATCAATATATTCAGCCTGTGATGATCAATGCTCATGTTGTTGATGATCTGTAATAAACTCTCCCTCTCTGCTCTGCCTCTGCGCCCACCTCTAATCCTCCATCTCTTTCTCTGCAGGATCAGTCAGACAAGAGCAAGAGCGACGACGAGTGAGGAAAGGGATATGAGGACATGGGAATATTGTTTATAGCACTTAAAGAAAAGGACAATATCTTCCAGTACTGTTGGTCAGGTCCATAATCTGTATGTTTTTTAAATTTGAATTCATTTGTCATGTTTTCTGTCGTGCCTATTGTTGCCCTTTCTCCTGCCAGCTTTGAAATGCATTTCCAAAAATTGCTAAGATGCAGCAATACTGATCTGCTTAGATTCTTCTTTTTAAGACAAATCTGTAGCGTATTTTTAACTCTGTGCTTTAAAACTTAAAATCCATTGGAGAAAAGGAAAAAAAAAGATTTGGTCACCCTATATGCAATTTCACTTTATTTGAACTTGCTTGCACTTTTGGAAAATGAAATATTAATATCCAAATTTTATAAATGTGTAATAAAAGTACAAATATAAAAATCCAAGGACATCAGGTTAACTTTGAGAGCCATCAGTGATATAAAATGACAATTAGTCATGTTTTTAATTTTTTGATTTATTGTTTCACCTGGTGCGGTGCCAAATGTTGAAACGTAGACAAATTGATTGCTTGCAAATCCCGCCCCCAACCAGCGACTGTCCAATCATTTCTTAGCAACCGTAACTAGGTACTGAAGTCTATCGAGTTTTGGATTTCTCCACACGTTGAGAACGTGAGGAGGTGTCAGTGAGACAAACAACATTTTGAAGAATGTGGAGCTGAAACAGGAATGTTACTACCAGCGTTACATTACTACTGTTTGTACTAATCAACGTTAGTAACTGAAGGTGAAAGAATTAATTGATCAACAGAAAAAATAATCAGCAACTGTTCTGATAATCAGTTAATTGTTTCATTTTTTTCTGTAGGAAGTAGACTTAACAAAGCTGTGCTAAATACTGTTCCCAGCCTCTCACATTGGAGGGTTTCCTGCTTCCCTTTGTCTTATATCAATGTATACAAAATATTTGGGGTATTTGGACTTGACACATCTGGAGACATCAGATTCACTTCAGCAATGCTGTGATGGGCATTTTCATAGACAGAGACTAAGCAAATAAATGAAGAAAATAATGGTTAGCTGCTGCCCTAGCAGTAGGCCAACATTACTTCCAAAGTCAAGGAGCATACCATTAACTTGTGGGGTAGCAGGCTGCCGGTGTCTGTGTGGGAGTGTTGACACTAATGTTAGCAGTTCTGTCCTGCTCTTTATTGGATGTGGGGAAGTGCACGCCCCAGCCTGTGTTGCCCGAGAAACTCACTGATTACTCAGTGTCACCACCTTTTTGTGTTGTCACAACAAAAGTAAACGCATATGTCTGACAAATATAGTCAGAAGCAGTCGCAATTAAAAGTCTGATTTTACAACAGCCCAAGGCAGTGTCTTCAAATACCGTCATACAACAAAGAGAAGCATTAAATCCACATGTGCAACAAACTGGGACAAGCCAATATTTGTCAAAGTTAACAAAGCAGTAGTTCGTTCATTTGTCGTTCATTAATTGTTGCAACTCTAGCTGGAAACAGTAAAAAGAAGCTTATGTATGCGTAGGTAACTACTGCTGATAAAATCTGCCAGCAGTCATTTCAACCAAGCAACCTGAAACCTGCAGAGGTCTTTCTGCCTGAATAAATGGACCCGGTGTTTCAAAACCAGCTAAGACTTTCAAGAGTAAATCTGCTGCCGTTGTCACTGAAAACAGTGAGAACTGAAAGCTTGACAGATGATGAAGGGAGAGGTTTAGCACGAGACGATTATGAGTGTATACTGTTTATCTTAGAGCCAGCACAACACAGTTACTCACTGACTTACACATTGTTTGAGATGGCCATAAATGCTGGATGCTTTTTCACCTACTTTTATTGAGTAACATGTAAACCGAGGCAGCACATGATTTAGTCAAGTCCTTGTATCTATTCTTCTAAAGCTTGCATGTTGTTGTGAACCAGAGCAGAAGCGATGAACTTTGTTGCAGTCATTTTCTCACTTATTCTGGCCTTCAGAGCAATATGTTGTTTTAGGCAGCAGATCTATGGGAAAGCGTCTGGTTGAGTTAAACCAGCATCTATCACAGCAGTAAATGTAGCTTTTCAAAGCGTGACTACATGTTGCATCCAGGACTGTAAAGAACCACGTGTTAGCTGGATCTCTGCAGACTAAGACAGTAGATTTAATATTACAATGAAAACTGTTATGGGTTTAAAATCAGATTTAAATGACATGAACTATCACCATATATTTTAAAATGACATACTGATTTTTACAGTTTGAGGCTTTTGTGTTCCTTGTGTGTTACTTTTGAACCCTCATTTTATTGGTTTCTGTTGTTTGTAGCATGAACTCTTTTGGCAATATACTGTTTACATGCAGATATATCTTTTTTTGTTTGTGTAACACGTGCTTGCTGACTCTTCCCTAAGTGTGACTTAATCCCCGCTTTCTTTGCACAGTGTCTTTGTGGTTGTATCTCATAGCCCAGGGCAAATAAAATCTCACCGATCATCAGCACAAATGTATTCTTCAGTTTATTTTGCTGGGAGCTGTTTCTGCCACCTGTTAGTGTTTGTGCATGTGTATAAACCCTGAAGTTCTTTTTTTCAGTTACAAGGTTAGGTTTCGTTACAAAACTTCAGTGGTGGGATGTAACCAAGTACTATAATTCGAGTACACATGTGAGGTCCTACTGTTCCTGCCCTTACTGTTGCATTACGAAGTGCTGCTCCTGTCACTGAGAAACCTTGACAGCTGTTCTGCTGATACGCAAAGGATCTTGAGATAGGGTGGGCCGCGGAGGAGGCGCCAGTCGGAGCCTTTGTTGCCTGGTGAAAGAAAGAAGCATTTGTCATCTGCATTTGAAGGAGCCTTCGAAATGGGACGGCCTTGTCGTCATGCTGTGATGCAATATGTCTTCAAACGCAGCCTTCGAAGGGTGCATCCCCTAAATTGGGACACAGTTATTGTAAAGAATAATGCTGGGGTACAAAAAGCAGCACTGGCAAGGCTGTCACTATGCAGTAAAATAAAGCCACTGGTGGGTAGTAACTAGAGAAACCTCTGATTCTGATCTGGAAGAGGTCTGTCATGCTGTCATACCTCCAGAGTACTGCTGGTGCTGATGTTTGTGTGACAGCAGAGGAAGCACCGGTCTTGGTTTTGCAATTTAGGCATTTTTAACCTCATTCAAAAACAAAAAGATCCAAAATAAATAAGTTGCTATGTCATCCAGCCCTAAGTCAGTTGTACAGACAAGTAGAATCCGGAGCTCTGGCCCCCACACAGCCCTGAAATCAGTATCATGGAGTACAGTGTGGGATTAAAGAAGACCTGAAATCCACAGAAGAACTCTGCCAGGTTCTCCAGTATGGCCCCAGGAGTGTTGCCCTGTACAACATTTGCTGTACTCCTCCTGTCTGAACTACTGCAGTCGTCTGTGTACTGTTGGTTTCGTACTGTGTATAGTGCAGCTCAGACACTGGAGGGCAGAAGGAGGACCATTGTACTGTACAGCTGACTGGACCCTTACGCACCAAACACAGAGCACATCAAAACTGCTTTCCTTTTTGTGCCCATGCCATTGTAAACAGAGCTTCACTAATTCCCCCTGAAGAATGACCATCCATTGCCCTTTTCATCTGCCTCTTTGAAGAGGTGGGATAGGACTGAGCCCAAGAAGAGCGGGGGAAAATGGGAGTTAATCCTTGTGTGCGTGCCCGAGATGTCAGCTGGAAAAAGTCAGGTGCTGGTGCTATTGAGTGAATTCTGCTATTGCTCTGTAGCTTTTGTCCAGGGCTCTGCCATCATCACATTCTCCAAGCAGCAGATGCAAGTCCCTCCAACCCCAAACCCCAGGGAATTTTTCTTCCTAATGTCTCGTGAATGGTGACCTGAAAGGGCCAGGTGGCTCTCTATTATTGCGAGAGTCCAGTTTATATAACTCATCCACGTTCAAGGCGGGAAAACAGACCCCATCAGTGCTAACACTTGCACAACCTAAAAGGAAGAGCTGGAAAAGGCTTTGTTTCCATTTGGATTCTGGTGTTCACTATCAGTTTAACACATGATTGAGGACTAGGCTTTGTCAAGGTAAACTTGAAGGTTACATCAGAGACACAAGCTCAATGTGGATTTCATGTAAAGCACATACGCACCACAGTCATGTGTGCCTGGTGTAACAAAGTTTACATCAGGAATACAACAAACATTGATTAAGCTATCCATTATTTTTACCTCTGACAAGAAGGCTATGTTTTTAGCAGGGTTAGTCAGTTTGTTCACAGCTTAATTCAAAAAGTTATGAATGGATTTCGATGACATCTTTGTGGCCCACGAAACAATCTTAGATTTTGGTGCTGATCCAGATCATCATCCAGATCCAGGAATGATTTGAAAGGATTCTTCACCATAGAGAGACAGGTCCCATTCCAGTTTAGCTTCTACTTACATACACAAATTTTATTTGGTTTAGTTTACAAAGGAAAAACTGATTGTTGAACATTTGTCAATCAACTTATTAATTAACGAACTATTTGTTTCAGCAATTTCTGCTCTGCCACGAAGATAGCATAACTCTAAACTCCAAACCTGTTGGTCGGCCACAACCTTGAATTTAAATGTTGTCACCCAAACAGATTTTTGGAGCACAAGCGCTACAGCACGTGGCAGCATGGATTTTTTTTTATAGTTTTGCTTTGATTCTGTATCTTCATATTTGTGTTTGTACTTATAAATTCTATTGCTTGTTTGTATGTTCTGGAGTAGGGATCCCTCCTCTTTTTCAGGTTTAAGAACAGAGTGTGTCCTGTGTTGTACAGACAGTAAACCCTTTAAGGCAAACTTGCAATTTTGGTTTTGGTCTGTATAAATAAAAATTATGCCCAAACTGACAGCTTGATAGACAAGTTACTGACTGAGGTCTGACGCAATTGCAGGCTAAACTCCACTCTTTAATTATCTCGGTGTTTGACCTGACCTTTGTCTTTTGCCACAGTTCTGTGGTGATTGAAAGCATGCGAAAGGCCTACAAGAGGTCAAGATGAGCTTCCTGTGCAAGGGGACAGACCTAATTCTGTCACTCATGATTTACTCAGGTATTCATGGGTTCAGTGTCAAGCTGCTGCTTCTCTACACTGGCAGCCAGCTCTGAAGTGGCTCGGCTTTTATTATTCAGCAGCAAAGACTTCCTGCCACATATAACTGTGATGAATGTTCCATAGTAAAGAAGTTGCAAAACTTTTAACATTCCCACACATTTTGCCCATGTGTGAAAATGATACACCCAAACTACTTACCTGAATTTCCCTCAAGATCAATAAAGTACTGTATGTTGCTATGGCCAAAAGATTCTGTACTGTTTTAGTCTTAATTTAAAGGTGTTGTATGCTGGTAAACTGGAGCACATTCAGTATGGGCTAAAATGACTTCCAGCATTCCTGTATGGTTTTCACAAGGGCTATATTTCACAGAGCAAATTAAACCCATTCAATTAATGCACAACCTCTGAACTAAAACGACTTTTAGATCCATCCTCAGCAAAACTCTCCCATGGGAAGAGGACATCTCCTG